GAAGGAACAGCTGGTGAACCAGCTCAAAACGCAGGTCCAGGACCTGGAGAGGTTTATATCCTTTCTGCAAGGTAACGGTCTGCTGTTGGGACGAGCACTGGCTTTATATGTGTGATGTATGGGGCAGGGCGGCCGCCAGCAGAGCCGCGCGATTTTTTTGCGCCGCTTGCTGTGTTTGTTTGGTACTGTTTGTTTGTTGCGCTTGTTGGGTTTGTTGTTTATTTGTAAGAACCTGCAACCTTTTCCCATTTGTAGCTGGTGCTGTCTTCCTCATGGTGTCCACTGATTCCCAAAGGGTGACGGACAGTCTTTTGCAGTTTGCAGTTTGGAGGCCTCTTTTTTGTTTATTTCTACTATTCGGAGATTATTACGGCTATTTTACAGGTCTGGCATGATGCTGTAGCTACCACATTACTGTCATGCATTAAGACATAGGCGGATCCTGGGGGGAGGGGGGGGGCATGGGGCCGTGCCCCCCCCCAAAAAAAAAAACATTCCCAGAACTTCATAAAAGTTTTGTCTACTTACCATCTGTTTTAACTTTAACTGTTTTAGCTGTTTTGTTTTAACTACTGTTTAAGATTCAAAAGCATTTTGATGCTTTTTCGGTTTTGAATGGTGTCCCCACTAGGTACTCGCGAGAGGCACCATGCACCGGACCTCGGATCCCACACCAGCCAACAGGCGACGAACGATTGCCCCCCCCCCCCAAAAAAAAAAACAACTCCAGGCTAAATCCGCCCCTGCATTAAGATCGATTTTCAGGCATGCACGACAATGGAACAAGTCCTTGGTGCGGCCGATCCTTGGCTTGGCCCCTCTGGCCAGGGTTTGACAACCATTATACTTCTGTTTCGGTGTGTGAGCTTCTTGCTTTGATTTTATGAATTTGTGTGCAGTTTCAGTGCTTGAATATTCAATATCTGCATGGATGTTTTGAGCAGTATTGGATGTGATGTTATTATAATTTCTATTATTGTGTTTTGCGAGGGATCGCAGCAATAGTGGTATTTAGGGCTCTCAAACCTAACTTTAGATGAAGTCACATGATGGAAATGCCTCCTTCTAGCTGACGAGTATGCTTTCTGTCAATGTCAGCCTGTGCTATGATACACTTAAAGTGGTTTTTGATACATTGTACTCGGAATAGCAGTTTGCACCCTGATGAAGTCTGAAAGCCCGTGTTGTACATACGCCGCTGTGCCACGCCGCGCCGGCGCTAGTCTGGGAGTCGGTCGGCCGGCGCCCCTGCTCAGACTGCCGCCTCGGGCCGCAGGCGAGACGGAGGAGGGCGGCTGCGACGGCAGCTGTCAGCGGCGCGGCGGCGGCGCGGCCCACACCTCTGGCGACGAGAGCGGCGCGGCCGGCGATGAGAGCGGCGCGGCTGGCGAGCAGGCCGGCCCGCGGCCCCGCCTGAGGCGGCGCTCCTCCCGGTACCGGGCCCGGCGCCACCAGGTGCGGCGCAGCGCACGGACCGCTGACTCGGGTCGATCTCGGCTTGCAGTTGACAGAGGCTGCCACTTGGACCGGTCCTCACGCGTAGTGTGGGACAGGTTTGTCCTCGGGCTAGCTCCTTGTCAATCTGCCATGCTGTGTTGCTGATAAATACAGTATCTGGTGCGGGCTGTAAGAGGTTTAGACTGTATAGGCTACTGTGGCAATGGCACCAACGTCCCCAGCGCGTGCCACTCCCACGTCCTGTCGCGCCTGCAGGACACGCACGAGGAGACGAGCTCGATGATGAAGCGGGCGCTGACGCTGCTCCAGCTGGTGACGCTGACGCAGTTCGGCTGCGGCGCCCACCACTTCAGCAGCAACGAGCTCAAGAAGACCTCGCGCGGCAACCACTGGGGGTGAGAGCTGCGGCACCACCGTGCTGGGCCTCCCGGGCCACGAGCCACGGCCCGCCACTATCCGGTGACCGTCGGCATGTCTGGCAGCGTACTAGCCGCGCGACGGCGTGTTAGTGGGATGATCAACGATGGCGTGAATTATGGGGTGGCGTGTGTTAGTATGGCTGCCTCGTTGCTGGCGTATGGTCGCATTTCGACCGCGCTCATGACGGTGCATGTTGACGTGTCCTCTGTTACGCTCGGCAACAATGTTATTGATACCTTTAGCGGTGACACTTTTCGGCATGTCTTCTTGGGCAGTGTGCAGTGATGGGATCAAGGAAGAACCGCGCCATGCTCTGCCCTGGATGTTGTGTCGCGTGTTGGTTTCGCTGCTCTCGATGGCCTGTTTGGGTTCAGCTGTTAGTGCTCCGCACTGGGCTGCTGTCAACGAATATTTTGCGATCATTATGGGAACGCGGCGATTTTCAGCAGTGTGGTGTGCGGCGATGCCGTACAAAAGACCGGACCTCTATAGTGACGATATTTTTAGCGACCTTCAATGAGCCGACCTTCCTGGCTAAAGGGTTAGTCCAATGTGACATATAGCATCCCGGCGTAACGTCATCTGGTGATGGTAATGACTCGACCTCCCCATGGGTGGGTGGCGACCTCCCTCCTTCGTTGACTGCCAGTCAGCAGCGCCGTGAGTGACCTGACCTCGGTCGTTGACCGTCAGTGACCTGCGCGCTCGGCTGGAGCTGGCCGTGTCGGCCGTCGCCGAGCTGGCCAAGGAGTCGCTCCGGCAGCAGCAGGCCTCCGACATGGGCACGGACGACTCGGACGGCTCGCCGCCCAGCGCCCGTGGCGACCGGCTGACGCTGGCCGTGCGCAAGGAGCTGGCCGTGGCGCTGCGCGACTTGGTACAGCACGGCCTGCTGCAGGTGCGGCTCGGCGCCGGCCGGGCTCGCCAGGGGCGTGGCCTCACGCCGGCGCCGCTGTCAGAGGCGGGGGAGGGGGAGGGGGGGGGGGGGAGCCGAGGATGATCTCTGCCCGGGCTACGGTGCCAACGCTGCCGCTATGGCTGCAGTGTTGTTGGCCACAGGGTATGAAATGATGTGCTTGTGTTCCGCTCTGCTGGTGGCGTAGCTAATCAGCGACGGTATGCCACTGTCTTTTGTGTGTGTGTGTGTGTTTTTTTTTTTTTAGGGAGCACCTGCCCTGTAAATGATACATGTGATCCCCGTTTTCTGCGTAGGCCTCGGTACTCTGCAAATATCTAGCTTGCCTGACAGTCGCCTTGCCTCTAAAGCGTCAGTCGCCGACGGCGGAGCCGCTGCTGGCCGGTGGGTGACGTGCCGCTGCCGCGCCGTCAGACGAGCCGGAGCCGGTCGGTGGTGCCGTTCGGCGGGTGTCTGCCGTCGCGCACCGCGCCGCCGCGCCTGCTCCACGCCTGGGACCTGGTGCTCGTCTACTACCGGCTGAAGCGCGGCGTGCAGTACAACGCTACGCCGCAGCGCCGCCTCTCGCAGAGCTTCGGCCTCTCCGTGGTCGGAGGCACAGCCATCACCAGCAAACACGTGAGCGGCCGGCCCGCCACGGCGCGCGGCCGTCTGGAGCGGCTTCGGGCGACACCCCGCGTCGGGGGGGGGGGGGGGGGGGGGGGGGCAGCGTGGAGCGACTTCGGGCGGCACCCCGCGCGGGGGGGCTGGAATGGCTTCGGACGGCACCCCGCGCGAGGGGGCTGGAGTAGCTTTGGACGGCACCCCGCGCGAGGGGGGGGGGCTGGAGCGGCTTCGGACGGCACCCCGCGCGAGGGGGGGGGGGGCTGGAGTAGCTTTGGACGGCACCCCGCGCGAGGGGGGGGGGGCTGGAGCGGCTTCGGGCGGCACCCCGCGCGGGGGGTGCTGGAGCGGCTTCGGACGGCACCCCGCGCGAGGGGGGGGGGGGGGCTGGAGTAGCTTTGGACGGCACCCCGTGCGCGGCCGTCTGGAATGGCTTCGGGCGACGCCCCGCGCGGGGGGGAGGGCTGGAATGGCTTCGGACGACACTCCGCGCGCGGCCGTCTGGAACGGCTCCGGACAGCACCCCGCGCGGCAGGCCACGTGCGGAGCGAGAGCTGTCCGGCTGGGTGGTGTGGATGTCGGGCTCGGCCGTGGTCGCGCGTTCAAAAAAGTGAATGAAGTGAAGTTGGAAGGCGTTCAAATATAAGCCTATCTGTGGCCTGGTCGGATGGCCGTAGAAGTTGTAGAGAAGCCGGTCATGCGTTCAACGGAGTAAAGGCCCCGAAGCGACGGCGTGTGGGGCTGACCAGCCGTCGCCCCGCCGCAGACGCTGCTGAGCGCCGTCGGCAACATTATCGCCAGCCACACGCCGCTGAAGCGGACGGCCGACGCTCACTTCAAGGCGTTCGTGTGCGCCGGGCTCAAGTGAGTGTGCCAGCCCGACAGCTGAGGTTGCCTGATGACCCGGTCAGATGTCTCTGCGGGGTGATTTGCCTGATTCAGCGCGGGCAGGGTTGGCGTGCTCGTCTCCGGCCAGCTGAGATCGAATGGCAGTAGCTGGCGAGGGGACTCTCTGTGAGCCTTGATTGGGGACCTGGGTAGTTTTGTTGCGAGAAACTGTCGTTTGGATTATTGGCAGTCGCGGCTTTGCCGAGGAGTAGAGGTCCGAGGTGGCTACCTTTGGATGCCACCACAGAAAATGTGGTGGAATTGAACATGTTCAGTTAGTCCGTACTTTAATTCGCCCTAAAATATATCTCCTTTGATTATTAATCGTGATGAGAACGACACCGGGGTGGTGCGCTATTGTCATCCTGTCCCGGCAGCGCCCGAAAGCTCAGCTCCTGGCTGCGCCTGATCCTCAAGTGCCAGGCCATCACGGAGGAGTACTACCAGCCCTGGAGCTACGTCATCAGCACCGGTCAGTGCTGGACGGAGCGAGGACGGCTTCATTGGGCTCGAATTGGCTGAACGAAACGTGTTCGAGGTGAACTGATTTAACGTGAAGCCCGTGCAATTACACATGCTCATCATATGTGATGGCCTCATGGTCGATTGTGGTCAGTAACATATTCCAAATGGCAGACTATTTCAGCCTGTGAGTGCGATAAGTCAACACTGTCGCTCCGTCAACTGCACAGCTCGCGACAGCATGAATGAGCTCCGAGAATGGCACTGCAAAGCCGTCAGCCGTGTGTGTGGCCGCTAGCCGTGGCAGACTGCTCCCTCCCAGCTGACGGCCGCTCGCCCTGCGCAGGCTCCGACGACGCACTGAGCTGCGTGGCGCGCCTGGAGAAGCACCGCTTCCAGCTACCCGAGGACCTGGCCGTGCGACAGCTTAGGGGCATTCGGGACGCCTTCTGAGCGGCCGGGCGCCGACAAGGTCGCGGGAGTGGGGCGGCACGTGCCGCTGCGGGGACGCCGCCAGTGGGCCCGCTGCCGGCCGAAGACTGGGAACAGAGGCGGGCTTGCGTTCGGCCTGAGAAGTATGTGAAAAAAATATGAAAAATGGACGCGAGCTTGCGAGCTTGCGCCTCAACCTGAGCTTACGAGATTTCCTGTCGGTGTTTGTCTGTGGGGTGTGGCGCGCCGGGGGCGCCCGCTCGCGCAGGCAGCGCGTTACTTACCTGGGTGAGCGTGGGGTTGGGGCGGTGGTGGACGGGGTCAGCGTAGTCACAACAGCGCCAATCATGTAAACCGGAATGTATTTATTCGCATGCTCTACATGTATGGACAACACAAGCCAACCGGATCACTTGGAGTAGTTTATTGAGACTCCGCTGAACGCCACGCGAAAGAAGCGGAAGCTGACGGTAGGCGAACGAGAACAGGCGGGCCGCCTCTGAGGACGCCGCACTGGCGGCCGGCCGCCGGGATGGTCCGCCAGCGGCAGCGGCGGCGGCGGGTCGGCGCGGACTAGTGGAGGGCGGCGCGGGGTGCGCAGGTGCAGGATCACGCCGGGGCGGGCTCCTCGGCTGCCGGCGCTGCCGGTGTGTCGGTCTTCTCCGTGTCAGCCTCGCCGCCGCCGCCGGCCGGCCGGCCGCCGTTGTCGAAGTGCCCGATCTGGAAGTCCTCATTCTTCTTGGTCGGTGCCTCCTGCGAAGCACACGCGTCGGTCAGAGCCCGACCCACGAGGCGTTAAAACGCGACACGGGGGGAGGGGGGGGGGGGGGCGACACTGCGGAGCGCGTTATACCCGCACCACGAAAAGCTACCGTTTCAGCAGCGTTTGAGGCTGGGTCCGACGCCAGGCATACACAGACACAGACACTGACACACGCCACATTGGCATCGCCGAGCCGCGATGCCAACTGAGCATTAGTCTCCACGCCATATCCTGCGTTGGACCTGATCGCCCCGCCCACCGCCCTGCTGTTACCGCGACTCACCCGCTCCTCCATCTTGGACAGCCGCTCGAACATGTTGGCGTAGATCTTCTTTTCGTGCGCTCTGGCGGCGCGGATCTGCTGGGCGCACAGCTGCGCCTGGTGGGCGGCCGCCTTGTTCTGCGGATCCAGCTGGATCACGCGCTGGAAGTCGGAGCGCGCCAGCTCCGGCTCATTCATCTTCACCAGCGCCTGCGCGACGGGCAGTGTGTGTCAGGTGACGCAGCGTGCCAGCGGATCGCCCACGTCATTTCGGTGCCGGGGACAGGCCAGCCGGACCGCGGGTGGCGCCGGGGACCGGCCAGCCGAACCACAGACGGTGCTGGAGACCAGCCAGCCGAACCACACGGCGCTGGGGACCAGGCAGCCGAACCACAGACGACGCTGGGGACCAGCCAGCCCGAGCGCTGGCGGCGCCGGGGACCAGCCAGCCGAACCGCAGACTACGCTGGGGACCGGCCAGCCCGAGCTTAGGTGGCGCCGGGAACCAGCCAGCCCGAGGGCTGGCGGCGCCGGGAACCAGCCAGCCGAACCACAGACGGCGCCGGGGACCAGCCAGTCGGACCGCAGGTGGCGCCAGGGACCAGCCAGCCGGACCACAGACGGCGCCGGGAACCAGCCAGCCCGAGCGCTGGCGGCGCCGGGGACCAGCCAGCCGGACCACAGACGGCGCCGGGGACCAGCCAGTCGGACCACTGGCGGCGACAGGGAAACAGCCAACCGGACCACACAGTACGACATGTGTACCGCGGTAACGGATGGTGAATGTAGCGAGAAACAGACACCGCGCAACACGGGTACACACTGCTATTTCTGATGATCTAGAGAGGCCGGGCCCACTGTATGCGAGTTGCTTACCCTCTACACCTGAACCCTGCGCGTCATGAGTTTGCACGACCTCAGCAGTAGCTCGTGGAGAGCAGCCCGGACAGTGCAAATGGGGCGAGGGGCATCATTCAGCTCTAAACGCCTTTCGCGGACGTCGTACGTTCGTGAGATCCCCGCCGGGCGGAACTCCCCGGGACGTTCTCTGCTTGCCGAGATGCCTCCCTCGAACGTACCTGCCCGCGCCGGAACAGGCCCTTGACGTTGTCGCGGTCGATGTCCAGGGCCTTGTCGCAGTGTGTCCGGGCCCAGACAAAGTCGCCCAATTTGATGTAGCACATGGCCAGATTGAGGTGTCCGGCCAGCTCCACCTCGCGGGCCTGCGGCTTCTCCTCCTCTGACCAACCTGGCGGCGACGGCGCCGAACGTCTCAGCGGGGGCCCCAGAACTCGCTCGGGGCAGCAGGGCCACAAGGTTCGCCCGGGGCAGCGGGACTACACAGCCCGCTCAGGGCAACGGGACCACACATCCCGTTCAGGGCAGCGGGACCGTACGGGACGGCGGGACCACACAGCCCGTCCGGGGAGGCGAGACCACACAGCCTGTCCGGGGCGGCGAGACCACACAGCCCGTCCGGGGCAGCGGGACCACACAGCCCGTCCGGGGCGGCGAGACCACACAGCCCGTCCGGGGCGGCGAGACCACACAGCCCGTCCGGGGCGGCGAGACCACACAGCCCGTCCGGGGCAGCGGGACCACACAGCCCGTCCGGGGCGGCGAGACCACACAGCCCGTCCGGGGCGGCGAGACCACACAGCTCGCTCGGGGCAGCAGGACCACAGTACACTCGGGGCAGCGGGGCCCAGGGTCGGATCACGTTAGCACGAATCCCATCCGCTCAGAGCGGCGCGGATCAGACGGGGCAGGGCAGGTCGGCTGGTACGAATACGGAGAGCAAACTTGACGCACACTAGCCTATACAGCTCCATGCCAGATTCCAAAGTTGCTTCACTTCTGCAAGAATTGCTGATGAGACAGCTGCAGCACACGCTAATGCAACCTGACGAAAGACACTATCATGAGAGGCTAAAACAGGAAAAAGCATAAGAAATGACACAAATATCGCGTTTTCTAGCAAATACATTTACTTTCTCCTACTCTTAGACTCCAGCCGAACTAGGTTCTGATGCAATGGGTTTGGAGCATGCCATTGGAGCATGGAGGTACACAGGTGCTTAGGTAAGTACGTCGCCGTCATCGTTCCAGGCTCCTGCGGCTTACTGTTCTCGAATTCCAGGAAATCCACGCAGCGCTTGTAGTTCTTCTCGGCCAGCTGATATTTTCCCGCCTTAAAGTAGTTCGTGCCCTTTTCTTTGTACAGTTTGGCCTGCTCCAGCTTTCCGGCCGCGTCGAACTCCCACCGCTCCTTTGCCTAATTGGCAGACAGCATACTGTCAAGGTCTCCCACGGGCCACCTTCTGCTCCAACCCCGAAACCCCCAGCAACGCCCCCGCCATTTGTCGCTAACTCTGCACGTAGAAATCACAGCGGCACGGTCAGCGCTGGGGCACTGAAGCACCGGGATCAACCAACGTCAGTTCCTGTCCCTTCGATCACTCTGGGCACAACCCCACCGATACGGGTGCGTGGTCGCGTCAGGACAAATTGCGGGAGATGACGCCTGTACAGGCGAGCACGCAGCACCACCGTGCCCGTCCGGCAGCGCCGGCCGCTCGCCTCGCTCACCTTCTCGAAGCTCTTCAGCTTGACCTCGTACTGGACGGTGGCGTCCGCCGGCACCTGGAAGGCGGCGCTGCCGGCGGCGCCGAACGCGTAGGGCGGCGTCAGCGTCAACCGCGAGCGCTCGCCCGTCTTGAACTTCTCGAGCGCCTCCTCGACGCCCGGGCACACGCTGTGCTCGCCGCCCTCGCCCAGCGCGAACGTCAGCTCGCGCTCGTCGAACACGCGGCCGTCCAGGCTGCCGCACAGCGAGACTGCGGGCCGGCGCGGCGTCAGCGGCGGCGCGACGGACCGGGCGGCGCCGACGCGCCGCACTCACCGGCGGCAGAGGCCATCAGCGAGAACGGCACGCGGAAGGATTGACTACGTCGCAGACCGGGACGACGTGCCTTGCATATCAGTGGTTATATAACACGTGCTTGGCAGCCACGGCTAATTCCAGGGACTCAAAGACATCCACGAGAAAAAAAAACTGAGGAAGGCTGCCACACGCAAACCAACTTCGTACCCAGCCCACTACGAGATTCCTCCCCCCCCCCTTTGGCCGTTATCCCCCCCCCTCTCCGAGCCTACGAAAAAATCACCAACCTCTTGCCACTGTCATAGCACACCTGCTGCCACATGACCCACATTTCAAAAGCGCAACAGTCCCGTGCACCTCCTCCTCCGCATCGCCCCGCGACGGCCGACCCTACGCGCCCGCCGCCCGTCAGCGGGCGGGGCCTTACCCTCGACGGTGGCGCCGTCGTTGGGCGTGTCGTAACCGGTGCCCTTCTCCACCTGGCGCCGGACGATGCCCCCGTCCTTCTTGCGCGACAGGTCCTCGCCCTTCCAGTCGAACAGCTCCACTTCGAAGACGAGCGTGGCGCCGGGCGGGATTTTGGGCGGGCTGCCCGTCTCACCGTACGCGTAGGCGGCCTGGCACGTGAGCACGGCCAGCTCGCCGCGCTTCATGGTGGCCACGCCCTGGTCCCACGCCTTGATCACCTGGCCTGCGGGGGCGACACGGCCGGTCACCGAGTGTGAGGAGCAGGCGCCGGCTGCCAGAGCTCAGCGGCGACGTTCCCCAAACGGCGGTAAGCGTCGGTAGCTTACAGTGTCAGTGGTTTAAAGAACTGTAAGGCAGAATATGCATCGCAAGGGAGTTCCTCTCGGCGTGAACTAAGGCAAAGAGAGCTGCCTCGCACCCGAACAGCAACGGGCACGAGTCTGTTAACGTGCGCATTGCTTACCCTGGTCCGTTCGGGGTCAGCTAGCCAGGGTTAGTGGATCTGGGACGGGGCAGCCGTTTCGTACCAAGTCGTCCATTACACATGCACACCAGCCGTCATCCGTCCCATCCGACGGACCAAGGCTGAGGAATTGACCCGCCACAAGAACCGGACGACTTTGAGCAGTGGTTTCAGGGTGCACGACACAGGCTGCTTCCACCGCGTGTGCATCGTGCCATGGCAAACCGTCCAAGCCATCATCGAATGCGTCTATAGCGCAAAGGGCATTTTGAAGCATTTAGTCCCGGCCCGTAATAGGGGGAAAGCGTAAGAACAAGCTGGAAACCGCATCAGTAGTCTTAAAGACTTGGAGGAAAAAAGGATACGTTTGCGAATGGTCAATGAATATTACGCTGCTGAGATGGTTGGTTGACGTTACCCCACAAGCACCGGGCGCAGTCCTCAACACACGGCCGCCTACCTTCTCCCAGCGTGAACTCGAATTTGTCTCCGCGGTCTCGGCTGGAGTCGAACTTGGAGCCGTCGCTGGCGAGCGTGCCCACGTAATGCACGTACACCTTGTCGCCGGACTGGGGCAGCTCGTCACCCGAGCCGGCGCGCTTCACCTCCTTCAGCACGCCGCCGTCGCCGGAGATGTCGACCGCGTCCGGGCCCGGCACGTACGGCTGCGCCACGTCCATGGTCTCCTCGCCCATCTTCAGTTACTTTTGTGACCTGTTGCCAATGCCAGATGTTCAGCACCTGAGGCTACTAGTAATGCTGAATGTGTTGCTTGTGGTACATTTCTACACATAAATAAGGAGTGCTGCAGGTGGTAAAATGTGACTTGAATGGGTCATGTGCAATTATGTAGCATGGCGCATGAAAAATTGATCACTGGAAACAGCCCAAACTGCACTGTGGGATTCCATCTAGCAAGCCCATGACTTAGTGCAATCTAACATGAGAACACAAGCTTCCATGGTGTTCAATACATCGAAAGGCACCGCAGCTCATTAAGCAAGCTGGTGTAGAGAATAAATTTTGCTGAACCTTGTTATATGCATAAAATGTGTACAAATACAGCATTTCATATGCACTGTTCTCTGCTTAAGCTGATAACTGGTTTTCAGAGGACAGTAGAATCATCAGCTATTGAATTATAGCATGGATCACAGCTGTTCATTGACTGGCAGGCACACCACGAGCCGGCCTGTCCAAAGTAACCATCCTGGTATTGTAGACTGGCAGCAATGGAGGAGGAGGGAAGCCGGTCTATGGCCATGTGTTAGGGGCGACCAATGCACTCCCGTCGGGTGGGTTCGGTCAAAACCAACCGCGTAGTCACCCTCCTATCTTGAAGCCCATCATCGCTCTGGGCCATATCATCTGGACCTCGGCAAAGGGGAAGGAAAATGGGTGCAAAAGTTGAGCACACGTACCACCTCGCGAGTATCTTAGCATGGAACACATTATACAGAGCACTGCTTGATAGCCACGGTAGCAGTTTCACCACAAGCCACATTTTGGCTGGCAATCCCACTTTTGTGGCACTCCGGGGCCCCTGGAGTTGATATCTTCAAACCCGCCAGTGGATCGTGTCACTGGCTGTCCACCTATGTCTGCTGCAAAAGCACATGCTCCGTGATGGGGCCCAGCATGTTGATGATAGCATCATTAATTAGTAGCACATAAGCGGAACCATGAACACAGCAGATGTGTGAATTCCAGGTGTGAAAGGGTTCCCAGTTCTTATGACAGGATGTGGGTCAGAGATCCTGACTCATTTTTTAACTGAAATCATGAGCAGTAAGCTTCAGTAAAATATTACTTGCATTGCCAATTGCACATAAAATAACTTTCATCAACTTTTTTTGATGCTATAGGCAGAGAGCAACTGACAGTAAGCATAAACTATGCCAGACAATTCAGAAATGAAACTCAATAGCCATTTCTAACATGACCATCTACCAATCACATAAAACATTCCTGGGTTAATTTCATTTTTGGCACATGGCACAACTCACTCACCAGTGAGTCACTGCTATATGTGCTGATAGCAGTCAGATCACATCTAGTCTGCAAGATCAGACTGTGTTTGGTTATGTCCATGCATAATACCAATAAATACTGGCAGGCTTGACAATGTTGTTACAACTCCTAGCTGGCTGATACCACATCATTCATAGTGTTGCACATGGAGGGCCAGGCAGGTTTCATGGAATGTAACCAAAGGGTGACAAGGGGATAAGTGGTTTGAGGTAACATAACTTTAAACTGGTGTCGTTGCCTAGTATGCATAATTGTGCTTAAAAACTGTAAGGCCAGTCATTGTTGCCTTTCTCTTATTGTAATCATCAGGCCTTTCCAACTTGAACTAGCATGATAAGTGACCAAATGGCTTTTACTGACCTAGCACATTATTGAGGAATATCTTATGATGTAACCAGACGGGTGGTTTTCATCCAGCACAACCAATGTGTAATGGAGAGCAGCACATATTATCAAAAAGTGTGTGTAGTGTAAAATGTAATGTATGCTCTTGAGCCTGTATTTCTGGTTTCAATACTACAAAAACATTTTTCACACAAAAATAACCTAATGTGAGCAAGGTTCCATGCACCAATGTTTTTTGTGATGCAGTACATGGAATTTTTGCTGACAGGTTCTAAACAACTCATAATGTCATCAGTTTACAGATTTTCTTTTTATCTGTCTCCTTACCCATCTCAAGTGTACAACTGGCATAATCATAGATGATTTTGAACTTAATGTACTCAAGGCAAGGCAATTTTGATTATTGTCAGCATCATGTATCACTTGGTATTTCTTACTGGGGCTTTAGGTCTCATGTACTGTCACATATTTCAAGATAGACACCTTTGCTAGGATGGCATGAGGGATATGACAGTGGCGTGACAGCGTCCTGAATCCAAGAACTACAGGCCTAGAGTCAAACGACCTAACCACCGAACCACAACCATCCATAAGTTGTGTATCAACATGTATGTTGGCCAACTAGCAATTATTAGCTGTTTGAACACTTAATTCACTGGTGTGCAGGCATAGAACAAAAAATTTTCCATCAGACTAGCTGCAATTCAGACTTAACATTAACCTGGATACTTAATATCCATCCCGGACGCCCCTCCTGCCCGCATTTGACGATCAGCATCGTGGAGGCAGACAATGTCAATCACCCACTGTTGCACACAAAAGAACCCACATTCGATTCTGAGCAAAACTAGCAGAAATTCAAAAATACGTGCGCAAAATGCATAAAAACACACCTACCGCTATTACACGAAACAGCTTTGACACCCTACTCACACAAGATACCTCGGCAGTTACCGGCACCACGCGACACCCGGGTTATCACACGCGTCTTTCCAGCAATTTCCACCGCGGCTCGCGATTTCTACAGCTCCTTCGACTACGCCGAGTGTGCGCGACACTCAGCTGACATCCAGCGTACTACACATATAATGATGTCATAAAAACACAAAATCGCGATTTGTTTGTTTTTGTTGAATGTGATTATATTAAATGAGGTAGAAAACAGAAGCTTATCTATAGGCACCTCAAAATGCCAAAATTGTCCAAAACTTTTCTCTGCTCTTTTACCGCGACATTATGGCATACAGGGGCGCAAACGAGGGAAAGAGAGGGTGATGGACCCGGTCATGCTGCAGCAGACCCGGATTTTTTGTTCACCATATATGGTTTCTGAAAGGAAGTGAAAAATTGGCGTGATGCGCACTTAACGAGCTCTGCGTCCTCCCCCCCCCCCTTCACCAGATTAAGAGATGCCCGGGGCAATAGCCTCATCGCGCTCCCGCATTTCATCGCGCTCCCGCGATCCTTGCATTTCTGCCCTTCTGCTGTCGTCATTCTCCTTGCAAAGCTGCATTTTACCATGGTTTGATGCTGGAATTGACCTGTACTTTTATTGCAGCTCTTTCGGGTGATGTCATTTTCATTTTCTTTCCTCATCCGCGCAATACTGGGCACATTTCGAATCCCCACGCCCCCGACAGAAGCCGTCCTTGCCAGTGATCAAAGCCCTTGCGGAGCCGGGGCGGTGGGGTCGGGGTGCCCGTGTTGACAGGTATTGAGCGTAAGGTGATGAATTGAGCAAGGCTGCTGGTCGGTCTTTCACAATGTGATCGGCTGTGAAGTTTCCTTATTCATATGGATTGGTAGAGCTCCAAAACAATATTTCATGATTTTCTGGTGGTTATAGGTGGGTCTAAATTCCTGAGAGAATCAAAGTTTAAGCATGTTTTTGAGTAGGTTTAGCATTTTTGTTCTGTTTGTCCCCTCAACTTATTTTTATAACTCACATGTGATCAAGAAGTGCTTGGATGTTTGTCACAGCTCTTAAGAAACCACAATACACTTACTGTGTCATTTTTACCTGCATTTTGCTGATGTTTAATACAAAAAAAATGCATTCTTGGTAAGTCTCATGGCTGAAAGAAAACTTCCATGCATAACTGGGTCAGGGTTCTTGCTCTTCCTTAGTGCACTTTCTGATGCACAGCCCATCCAAGGTGCTCACCATCCATCAAGTTGCCACACTGCAATCTGTTTCTGGGATATGTTGATATGTGCTTTACTTTCTGATTGACCCAGTGCCCAATAATGGGATGTCTCTCTGCCTGGTGCTAATGTACATGCTTAGTAGTTGGTGATATCTTAATGCTGAATGGTTGTGGAACACAATATTTGGGACATGATGTAATGCTTGGTCATGCAACCAGCTTGGGGCATGATGTGTTGTGATGCATTCTGTTTAGTAGCCATGCATTTCCTTATATTTTGTTGTTCAGGTGGGTGTTTCTATTCAAGGACTGAGACATAGTAAACAGGGGCCCAGGCCCCCAACTTTGCAGAATGTAGCATGCAAATGAAGCCATGGCATGAAATTTCTTCAAAACCTTGAATTTCTCTGTCTCCAAGCATTTAACCTGTACCTCCACCCCCCCCACTTCTTATGGAGCTGCCCACACCTCATGTTTAGGGCTGGTGTCAGCATGCATAAGTGTGCATGGGTACATACCCATATCTCCTGTGTCAGCCACTGGTAACACCATCCCAGTGTCAGCTGCAGTCATGTAGCAGTGGCTCTAGGTCATCAGATAGGGTCAGTTATATGAGGTGCTCATAAGCACTAAACCATTCAAAGGTGTTCTGTGTCATTGTTCTGCTGTGTCACATCCTCTTCTTGTCTTTCCATCCACGCACCCGCGGACAGCTGACATCTTGTGTGTCACGTTCGTCGTCAGCGGGTGTTCGCTGTTTGGACGGCTGGTCGGCCGGCGGGCCTCGCCATGGAAGAGGAGAGTGAGTTTTCCGGCTTCGGCGACCCGGTGGTGACGATCCCAGACGAGCGGAGTTCGAGCTCTGGAGATGACTCACCGGCCGGCCGGATCCTGCAAGGTTGGCGAAAGCCCGCATCCCCAGCTTTGCCGCGTTGTCCCCCGGTGGCCCGTGCGACGCACCAGCACTCCTGGACATCCGTCTGGTTTTTATGGGTGTCGTGCCGCTCAACCTCGGCTCACCTGTCACTTACCGGACTGTTGCTCAGCGCGTCGTCTAATACATGGAAATCCACAAACATGTCAAATCCGCGTGAGCTATTCAGTGGCGCAGCCGTCGCCCTCTGTAAACATCGCCGCCGCATCTCCTGGCCACCTGCTGGCGCGGTGCCGCGGCTTGCCGCCACCACGACGGGCGTTGTTTGCGGATCAGCGCGGCGCCCGTCGTCGCGCTGATCGCGAATGCGGTGCGACAGGCGCCGGGCTGCGCGCGTATGCGTGTGACGGGGGATCGATAGGTGCCCCTCTGACCGGGCCGGCCGCTCCCGGTGCGCCGCAGACCCCGCCGCCGCCCGGCTGCTCGCGGCTGGCGGCTACCTGCGTGCGGACCCGGTGCCGGTTCAAGCCCTGCTGCAGCACCTCAGCTCGGCCCTGCCCGACCTGCCCAGGTAAGTGGAGCGTCCCTCGTCATGACCCGGGTGGGAACGGCCTTACGACGAATATCTGCCCGTAGGAATGGCTCTTTGATGAAAGCTGCCTCGCAAGGGAGCTCTCCTTTAAATGTTTTCATTCGAAACAGCTCTCGGATTGGGATGTCCGCTTGCTTAGAGGTCGTCCTCACGTCCAAACAACAGATACAAGACTTCCTGGCGTCTTCAAGAGCGGGGACATACCCTGTTGTGCCGCTGTCTTCGTGCTCCTCGACCGCCTGTCCGGTCCGTCGTCCCCGCCCCTGCAGTTCCAGGCCTGACTCGGACGCTGCCTCGTCGCCAGGGAGTGGCTGCGCAGCCTGACTCAGGTGCTGGACCCGACTGGCGAGGACGGCGCCGTAACCGAGGCCGTGTTCCGGGAGGCGGTCGGCGCCGTCAGCCGGGCGAACCAAGACCTGCTGCAGCCGTGAGTGGTGCGCGTCAGCCGCGCCGGCGGCAGGGCGGCGAGGTGCAGGCCTCGCGCGCCGGCCGCGCTGTGCTGACCGGTGGCGTCCGGTCGTCACGGTCTGCTCCGTGGCTCCCTCGATGCCGGCGCCCATGTGAATGAGCTGCTGCTGCCGAAACTGTGGTCCTCAAGGTGTCGTTCTGTGTATCCTGCAACCACACCGCTGGAACTGGCGCCGGCTGTGAAGCCCAACCTTCGAACCGCGTGTTATTGGTGCACTGGCCAGCCTTCTACTGACAGGAGGGACGTGGTGTGCGAGCAGCTTCCGCTTCGTCATGGTGACGACCGAAATTTTGACGCCACGTGACAAAACCACCTATTTTGAGATGTATCTTGTCTATGTAGTTAGATAGTGCCACCGCAATGCGCGCCGAAGCCCTCGGGTGGCGGCCGTGTGTGCCTAGTGCTGCCTTCCCTGCGGCCGGCCGTGTTCCGCTCCGCCGCGTCTCTGGCCGCTGAGTCCGCCGGGGCCCGCCGGTGGCGTCCCGCGCGGCACCGCTGACAGCGGCGGCCCTCGGACCGCAGCGGTGTCATCCCGGACACGCCGCCCTCGCTGCCGTCCGGCGCCGGCCGCTCCGACGCCCGCTACAGCGCCGTCAGCAAGGTCTCCTCCCTCGGCATCCTCAGCACGTCGCAGATGGACACCAGCCTGAGCAGCTACGAGGGACTCGGACAGCAGTCGTCGCCCGTGTAGGTATCGTCGCGGCGTCGACCGTGTATGCGTACGCGCAGGATCTCTGTAATGCCTCTGTCATAGTGCGTCTCTTATGCCTTTTTTACATGGCGGCGGGGACGTCACCTGTGCTTTGTGCCGCGTGTATTATGGTGTCGGTCAGCCGTCAGCCATCATGTGTTGGTATGTTGCCATTTATCAGCGCTCAGTTGGCGATGTGCGTGTACTCTGTGGTGCGGAAGCTGTCTGTCCTTACCGGACCATCATTGGGAGTGTTTCTGCTCGCAGTGCGGTCACGTGACACTGCGTTAGTGCCGGGCGTCACGGCCGCGGTCAGTGACGGAAGTGCCGCCGCGTGCGCTCGCAGCGACGTGCCGGCCCTGGAGAACACCATCGCTCAGCTGGAGCACTCGGCGCGCGCGCTGCAGGAGGAGCGCGACCAGCAGCAGGCGCAGCTGCAGCAGCTGGAGGAGACCAACCTGCAGCTGGCGGCTGCCGTCACGCAGCTGACGGAGAGGAACAGCAGGTCGGTGGACCGCTGGGCTGGCTCCGGCCGCACACGCTCGGGGGTGTTGGCGCTTCAATAGCAGACCGGCTGCTAATGCGTCCCAGATTAGCACAATGTGGATACCGGTTCTGCACGAGTGAAATGTCACTTGTTGTCCGTGCCTGGTGTTGACATGGCATCAGCGACCCCTGTTACCCCGCGTTTTGGCGAGTCATTCGCTTCTTGTCCCGAGGTAGAGCCTGTAATAACGGGTTACCTGCTCACCGCTTCGGATAAGGACACAAACAACAAACAAGTCGCTCCCCGTCCCGTTCGGCGTATTTCGCTACCGCTATAAATGACGTCAAGCGTGGCGTCATGTACACCTCAGCCCCGCAGGGCTTCTGTCAGCAGCGCGCCGTCACGCACTGCTCGGTTTGCGGATACGGGGAAGGGGTCTGGTGTTGCCCTCTCTAAATCAGCCATCAACGCATGGGCTACGCTTAGTTCTTCTTTGGGGGAAGGCATTTGCATCTTAGCATGTTTCCTTAGTCTTGAGTGTCCAGTTTTGTGGGGCATTTGAGAGTCGGTCTGTGTTCGACGTGAGTCTCCAGGTGTTAGTGTCCTAGAGTGTCAGCGGGCTGTCCGAGTGTGTCCGGCATGAGTCTCGAAGGGAGGGTGTGCGGGCGCATCGGGCGCCGTCCTGTGTGCGTTGGGCGTTGACCTGCGAGCATTGGGCGTGCCCGACGTCTCTGTGTGTCCGGTTGTGCTGAGTGTTAGCGTGCTGGCGTGTCACAGTGCCCGAGTCCCCTCCAACGTCGGCTTCCCGGCGTGACGGCGCGCGCGTCGGACCGCGCCTGGCGCGAGTCCGCCGTCCAAGCGTCCCGCCGCGCCGCCAGCCTGACGGCCGAGCTGCAGCGCATCGCCTACCTGCGCGCCGAGTGTGACCGGCTGCAGCAGGAGCTGGAGGCCGAGTCGCTGCAGCGTGTCCGGCTGGCCGAGCAGACCGCGCACGCCGACCGCCTGCTGACCGCCCAGCAGCACGAGATCGACCAGCTGACACGGCGGGTGGGTGCAGTCGCCGCGCGTCGGTCGGTCCCGCGCCGCCTCCACCGAGTTTTTGTGCCTGGGGAGGGGGAGGAGGCTGACCCGGTGCCATCCGTGCAAGGCGGTGTGCGTGTGGACGTCAGTTGTAGGTGGTCTACAAAAATTAGGTGCGTTTAAAAAGATATATGGATGTCAAGGGTCCGCCATGCCCCACACCGTTAGTGGCACTAATTGCTCGCCCATTTGAATTCTACTAATAGACCGGTTTCCAAGCAGTACTCAGCGTCGAACTGTGCATCCTATGTGTCCCCGTCACTACATCCACGGCGCACGACTAAGCGCGCGGTGCCCTCGCCCGCCAGCTGAGCACGACGGAGGCGGAGTCGCGCGCGGAGAGCGAGCGCGCTCGGGCCGCGGTCGCCGCCCTGGAGACGGCGAGGGAGGAGACCGACTGGCTGCGCCGCGACCTGCAGGACCGCGACGACCGCGAGGCGACCACCCAGCGCACCATGAGCGCCCTGTACGCCACCATCCACGATATGCGCGACACGTCACTGGTGAGCACCGGCCGCCTCACGCCGCGCACGCGTTGCTGGGCTCACTGTGCTGAAAATGCACTAATACCTTCGGTGAGCACCGATCACTGGAGCTTCAGACTGTGTGCCAAAGAGAGTTAAGGACCTGTTTGATGAAAACAAGGGCGTTGCAGACATCTGTGCGCTAGCAATCACCACAGCACAGACAGAAAACTATTTTTCTCATTTGTCAAGCAGCACCTCTGCGTCCTGGCTGCCGCCGCGGGTGGAGTGTTGTAGTGCGCACCTCCAGCGTCAGTGGGCCGGCTCGGTCGCCTGACCGGCGGGCGTCTCCCCGGCCGGCCGGCAGACACTGCAGGAGGAGAAGGCGCGCTTCAGCGACGAGCTGAGCAGCGTCAAGAAGCAGCTCAGCTCCCTGCAGAAGGCCAGGGCCGAGCGCGCCTCCCCCTCCGTCAACGGCTCCATCCACGACGAGATTATCAACACGGTGAGATACGGCGCCGTGCCGGGTTGCCGGCACCACGTGCCGTTCCCAGCGATGGCTGGCGGCGACGAATGTGACCGCGACAGCAGCGCGTGCTCTTCATAGGCGATTCGGTGAATGCAGAACGCTGGATAACTATCTGCGAAGAGCTCCATCACTTCATGTCCACCCAGCTCCCGTGTTTAGGGATTTCACGTGACGGTGAGAATGGTTGACGGTTGGTAGGCTTTCCTTTTTGTGTTGATCACTCCCAGACTTGGGACTGCGGTGCCCCGTGGCATTCCGACGACGGTTGACCCGTCGCGCCGGCCCGAACTGAGCTGACCTGACCGGCACTGGCAGATCCAGACGACCGGCGACGGCGATCCGGTGCTGCCGCTGTCCGGCATCGCGTCCCCCGAGCTGGTGCAGGCCATCTGCGCTAGCCCGCTCAACCTGCACTTCAAGGTCAGTGAGAGCGCGCCAGTCAGCGTCGGGCGGTGCCACCCGGCGTCACAGAGTGGCTTCCTAATGACCCAACGCAGCTGATTCCTGCATATTCACCAGGCTGCGCGTCGTTGCGAGGCCGCGTCAGACCTGCGGGCTTATTGAGCTTTGGTCGTGGTTTGTGGGGTTAGATATGGCCTCGCATGCAGTCGACGGAGACACCGAGACTAGATTAAGCCCAAGCGGCTATCTGCCATGGGCAATCCTATTTCACCAGAACTAGCAGATAGCGAGATCACCTCGCTCCCTTGCTCGCCCGCTCGCTCCCCCCTGTCGCCGTGTGTGGCCTGCACGCAGTCGCCTGTCCACTGTCTCCGTGTTTCCAGACGTCCGAGCTGTATACCGCTCGGTCCATAAACTCCTGCTCCCTGATAACTCCCTGTGATGCTGCTGTGCACTCTCTTCTGTCGCCTTGTGTGGCGTAAGCGCAGTCGCCTGTCCACTGCTGCCGTGTTCCCAGACGCTGCCGCGCCGTCTGCTGATCAGCACGCCGCGTGCGCCTCTGGCCGAGGAGGAGTCCTCGGATGTGGAGGAGCGGTACTCCTCTGCCGCCTCTGACTCCTACGGTTAGTCGGACAGACACAGCCAGACAGTCGGGGTGTTTTTTATTCCGAGGTATCTGACGGGTGCGACTCCCAACGAGTGTGAAACGCCCAGCAGGGCCGGTGGCCTTGGGTTTACGAAGCTGTTACCCCATGTTGACGCATTGTCTATGGGGTATGGTGATAAGCTCGTCACATTTCGCTTAAGCGTTGCTTGCCTTCTGCTGAGAATGCCGGTCACCCGTCAGTGGGGCTTCAAGCGGATGGTGAACAGCTGCTGTCCTTTCGATGACGTTTATTCGATACGCCTCTTCCGGACTGAGGTTAAACATTTGTAAGCATGTGTGAAATTCCAATCGCTACGCATAGCGGTCTGGATGCATGCAATAAGAAATGTGATTTGTCAACGCGAGGTTTGGAAATGTCATTCAGTTTGTTATTCAGTGTATTTCAGCAATAGCATATGCTACTGCGACCTGCTTTGTGTATGGTTTGACGTCGTTTAGTATATTTCAACGTCCTCATGCTTCAAGACCTATTAAACGCCTGTGTTTTTCACGTACCACATAGAAAATTCCGGCTTTTCACCTATCATGACATGTTTTTGTTAGTCGTTTGCCGTTTCCGCCGCAGTTGGCTATCGCGCGAATGGGGGTTAGGCCGGTAAAAGGGACACCATATAGCCCTCGTATTCGCGCATGTTGAAGGCTTACTTTTATAGGGGAATTACAACGGAGTGAACGGCTAGCAAGCAGAAACATCTCGTCGGAATCAAGAGGAGATGCAGGAGGTTGATAGGCGTACAGTTTGTAATCCCAGTTACCCTAGAGGTATTTCACCTGTCGGGAGGGGGTTTCGCGTCTGTACAGAATTGAACCGAAAGGAACAGTGTGTTTTTCCCAAGGGATGTAAAGAACCATAGCCTTTCTAAGGCCCAAGACGTTCTAGCACTTGGCCTTGAGCGAAATTAGTCCAGCTTTACGCAACTAGGGTCCTGTCACGTGGTCAGCACGTGTCACGTGATCAGGGTGACAGCATCAGAGGCCAGCAGCCCGGCCCCCAACCCAGCGACTGGCCGAATCTGGTCAACGTGGCCGAATGTGACGTCAGCGTGACCGAATGTGACGTCACGTGTAGCACGAAGCAGCGCGAGGCGAATTCTCTATTTCAATAAATTATTGCAGTTCTAGCGATCCTTGACGATGCTTAATGACATGACCACGTCCATCGTACGCTTTTCATCATGTTCTGTGCTTGGTTTGCTAGTCCTTAATAGTGAAATGTTTCTTTTTACATGGTTTCCTTAAGGCTGCCAGAAAGACAAAAAAAGTAAAACATCGTGGCCGTAAAAATTGTGTTTGCCAAAGATTGCCAGAGGCGTCATAATTTTGCAGAAACGGCGAGGTTCAGTTACGTCATACCGCGCGTGATGTCACATCCGACCAATCACCGACCGACGGCTGCGGTAGTTCACAAGGTTGCTGTCGATCGGCACCGTCACTTTTGGCCTTGTCACCGGCATGAACAGCGTGTAGGCAGTGTTTCGGTTGACACACTGCATTCGGGCGTTCTAAGCCTTGAGCTGGTGGTTGTAAGTCTTTGTCTACTGAAATCTGACTACTTCAGCTCAAGAGACCCTGCCAGGGTGAAACACCTCCCGTTATAGTTTATTTCTATCGCGCTCTTCTCCAGCTACATTGCGATGTACTCTCAGTCTCGATTATCCATGAGTTCGTCATTTGTACGCACTTGAAAGACCACCGTTGGAGTCGGTAGGACCTGGGGCAGGTTAGCCTGTTTTGTGTTCGGGACGTCAAGAAGGGCACCAGAACAGGAAAGAGCCTGAGGGACATCAAAGCGTCGCTACGCCGATGTTTGTATGTAGAACAGAACGTGACGGCTGATTTTCACCCGCGCGTCGTTCTACCAAAGTTAGAACCGCCAAGGCGCGCATAAAAGGTGACGACTAGTGTGGCGTCACAGTATGTGGTCGGTAGCGCGGCGGTTAACACGTCTGCGTTAGCCACTGCCCGTCTGGGAAGCCAGAGGTACGGGGTTCGATTCCCCGCGGTGCCCGCCCTACCTGCCAGGGTGAGAGACAGGCGACGCCATATAGCTTCAGCAGCTGCGTGCGTCGTAAAGCCCCAATCACACACACACACAGTATGTGGTCGCCCCAATGTCGGGTCGTAGAACAGCTCAAGTCGGGCGGAGAGCGTGACGCAGTGTTTTCATCGATCCCCGCACTCCGTGCGTGGCGAGACGTTTTCTGCGCCGCGGCTTCGTGTATATGTCGACCGATCCCATGCGACAAGCGAGCGTGCGACTGATGGAACGTCGCTTGGGGTCGATTTTGATCCCGCGTTACATGTGGCGCTTGTTTTCCGAACTGCAAGGAGGGCGAACAGTCCTGTCACGCTGCACTGACCCGAAAAGACGTGGTTCAACTCCAAATGAATCGACGCCGTTGACAGTAGTTCAGGCCTTCTCCCGGCTTGTGGGCTAAGCATCGGCCTATGTGCTGATTAGAAAATTTATTTGTCGTGCATATTAGTGGTGCAATGGTCTCATTCACCGCACATGTCAGCTAGTACAACAATGGTCGTGGATTTTCGCTTCGTATGAATGAACCCGTCGATGATTTTGGATGTTCGCCGGCAGCCAATCAGTTATGACCCACACGTATTTTTTTGGCATCGACTGCATCTTACATCAATTTTGATTGATTTCGGACACGATTCCGACTTGGTCCGAAAGCAAGCAAACCTATAGGGCCACATTATAAAGTCGCAACCAGTTTGATGTTATTGGCACCAGGCGAGCGAGTAATTGAGGCAAGGACTCCTGTCACAGCAACAGCTCTTGTCATTGTGTTAGCTTGTCGTGTCATCCATCTGATCTTGATATTTGCGCACTTTAAACGAAAACGTACTGTCTCTAGACTTTTGGGTCGAAAGGCGTCGCTGAAAATCAATGAGCTTGCGACATGCCCTATGTTACGCTTGCATTCCGCTGTGCTTTCGGGGGACCTGCTGCTCGGCTGACTGCCAGGGGTTTGTTTATTGGCGATCTCCGTGACGCCTGCTCTGTCCGTGTCCCGATGGCTGTGTCTGAAGCGATCTTTTCGGCGCCCCGCCCTGCCTGCGACGCCCCGGTGACGAGCCCGTGGCGTGTGACCCCGACCTGCCGCTTGTTGCAGATTCTCCGGACGTGTGGCGGCGGCCGGCAGGGCTGGACCGGACGTCCGCCATCGAGAGCGAGGTCGCGGTCCACCAGACCACGCAGAGCGACTGGGGATCCGCCATCGAGGGAGAAGCGGAAGCCCTGGTCCACCAGACCACGCAGACAGACCGGGGGTCTGCCGCCGGGGAAGAGGCGACGGTCCACCAGACCACGCAGACAGACCGGGGGTTTGCCGCCGGGGAAGAGACGACGGTCCACCAGACCACGCAGACAGACCGGGGGTCTGCCGCTGGGGAAGAGACGACGGTTCACCAGACCACGCAGACTGACCGGGGATCTGCAGCCGGGGAAGAGACGACGGTCCACCAGACCACGCAGACTGACCGGGGATCTGCAGCCGGGGAAGAGACGATGGTCCACCAGACCACGCAGACAGACCGGGGGCCTGCCGCCGAGGAAGAGGCCGATGCGACATCGTTGCTTCTGTGGGACTTGCACAGGTACGAGCTAACCCTCCCTCGCCTCTGGTAGTGCCGATCTCAGCGCAGAGGATGGGCCGATGCGAACAGCGCATCGCGCGTTACCGCACTCCCCCCCCCCCCTTCTCGCGCTGGTTCCGTTTCCACCTGCCACGCCCGCTCCCTGTGCCCGCCACGCCCGGGTCACAGTAGCCTCTGAGCGCAGCGGTGGTGGCGGTGTTCACAGGTGGGGCGGGGGAGGGGGCGGTGCCCTGCCGGGAAGCATGACGGGTTGGAATGGCCCGGAGCCGGCGGCGTGGGCTGCCGCTGTGGAACTCTGTCGCCGTAGACTGGGTAACGTTTGAAAACGCATCCCGCCTGCCGGTTTCGCACTGCTAATCCTCCGCGGTGCGCAGGCTGTCCCACACTAACCCGTGCGGCGGTGGCGCGGCACGGCCGCGGACGTGCGGCCTTCGCTCGGCTCTCTTGGCTTCCCCGGGTATCCCCGCACTCTGCACGGTCCGCCGCATGCTGGAGTTGTCTGCACGTGTCCCTCACCGCATGCGCCGCTGATGCTTCGCCCCGACCTCACCTCGCCAGGGCGGCTCAGGAGCTGTGTACGGACGCTGGGTGCAGCGACACCTCTGGAGCGGAACAGGTACTAATGCTGCCGCCGGTCGGCGATTTGGTCAGGCTTTCTGTTGCTCGTGTGGCTCAGCAGGCGAGTGGATGCTTTGCTACGCACGTTAACGGTCTCCTGGGTGTAAACCAGGGGCGTCACAGCCTCTACAAGTACCTGTCTCCGGCACCCTCTTGTGTAGATTCGCGGGTACGGTCCAGAGTCGGTTTTGATCTGGTCCCCCGCTTTTCAACGCCTTTATCTGCTGACCAACACTCGCTGACACAGCAAGGTTGGTCAGCATTCCTTAATGTTAGCCATACTGGCCAGCATTCCCCGGTATCGACAAAGTCCCGTCCTTGTCACACCAGACACCAACCTAGTACTGTTGGTGGTGATTAGTCCAGCATTCCCCGGTACCGGCAAAGTCCCGTCCTTGCCACACCGGACGCCAACCTAGCACTGTTGGTGGTGATTAGTCCAGCATTCCCCGGTACCGGCAAAGTCCCGTCCTTGCCACGCCGGACACCAACCTAGCACTGTTGGTGGTGATTAGTCCAGCATTCCCCGGTACCGGCAAAGTCCCGTCCTTGCCACACCGGACACCAACCTAGCACTGTTGGTGGTGAGTAGTCCAGCATTCCCCTGTATCAGCAAAGTCCCGTCTTTGCCACACCGGACACCAACCTAGCACTGTTGGTGATGATTAGTCCAGCATTCCCCGGTACTGGCGAAGTCCCGTCCTTGCCACGCCGGACACCGACCTAGCACTGTTGGTGGTGATTAGTTCAGCATTCCCCGGTACCGACAAAGTCCCGTCCTTGCCACACCAGACACACCAACCTAGCAATGTTGGTGGTGATTAGTTCAGCATTCCCCGGTACCGACAAAGTCCCGTCCTTGCCACACCAGACACACCAACCTAGCACTGTTGGTGGTGATTAGTCCAGCCTTCCCCCGTACCGGCAGAGTCCCGTCCTTGCCACACCGGACACCAACCTAGCACTGTTGGTGGTGATTCCGTGCCGGCTGCCATGCCGCAGCACCGCAGGCGTGCCTGTCCCGCGAAGATCCGTCCCGCTGCATGATTGCTCCGGGCGTGGGCTCCTCCCCGCTGAGGGACGGCCGGTGCCTTCGCCGAAGGCACCCGTGAGATGCCGCTTTTTGTTTGTGACGGGGATTTATGCTGAAAGGCTTATCTCTGCACCATCCGCCGATATTTGTTGATAAATCCTCAGTTGAAGCTGTGAGCAGGTATTCACCGACCTTGAATACCGGCGTTGTGGTTTAGAAGGGATTTGACGAACTTGGGACCTAGGCCAATTGTAAGCCGAGGGGGAGGCCAGCTTGTTCAGTGGAGTTTAATCTATGCTGGCGCTGCTGTAATGTGTACCAACTGCAAAGTGTCATCCACTAAAGCCGTGTTTTTATCCCAACCTGATCAAACTCTGCAGGTACAGCATTGTGCCATCTGAATTTCGAGAACCGCAGGTATTACGATATCCATTATTTTTGCTAGTGAAGAGTTTGTTTTCAGCTGTATTGCCTTATGCATTATACGCCTATGACATTTGCTCAACCACGAAAAACATCACCGATATGGGAAGAGTGAAAGTTTGGATCGTAGAAGTTGGTAAGGCAAAAGTTCGCGGGGCTCAAGTTTATCGGGCCGAAGTTCGTCGTTTAAAAGTTTGTGTGGGATGAAAGCCTGTATAGAAGTTAGTCTGGGACGGAACTCAATCGTGCCAAGGTCCTTATGCGGTAAGATTTCGTCTGGGACAAATGTTTGCCAAGGTCAAAGGTTGTGGTAAAGTTAGTTCAGGGAAAAGTTTGTCTAGGACAAAAGTATGTCGAAAGCAAAAGTCCGCACGATGGTTGGTGTGGGCAAAACTTAGCTGAGGGTAGAATACGTCGAGGACAAAGGTTTCAAATTCGTCGAGGTATTGTTTGTGTGGGGCAAATTTTGTCGAAAGCAAAGTCCGTCTGGGGCAAAAAAGCTCGTTTGGGAAGAAATTCGCCTCGGAAAGTCTGCGTTTGGTTTTGGAGGGATGCTTTCAGAAAACAGGTCAGCTTATCGTTCATAGTGGCGTGGAGGCGGCAGACACCTTAGATAAGAAAGAGACGCCTGTGGTGAGTCGAAACGAACAATGAACGAAATGTTGCGCTTGTGTGGGAAAGGATTATTAGTGTCAGTATGTATCGAAGATAGTTCTGTGGTGTCAAATTGGTGTAAAGACGTGACCAGCCGTTGTTCAAACGGCGACCAATTTTCAAGCGTCAACCAAAGCTCGGCAGTACTCCCGAGCATTAAAATTTGTAATATGTGAGGCTTCCATCTAGCTGCTGATCCTTAGGCTGCGTTTCACATATTTCGTAAGGCGTAAGAATTGTGATCAAAAGGCCTATCTAAGAATACAAATTGGGTACAAGAGTATTAGGAGAAATTAGCTCACCACTCACTTCAAATCTTCTTCGGCTATTCCATGGCGCACTTCCTCGAAGACTCGGGATCCTGGACCCCCACTTTTTGAGGGCGATGCCCAACCTGATTGTGAGGGGGGGGGGGGCACGGGACAAGGGAAGTCGTTGACGGTGGCCAGTGCCCGCACAACATTGCTGCGCTTAGCATTTCGCGGTGACATACGCACAATGCCGTCACCGGACCCGTCAACTGTCAGTCACGTCCGTCACAGACGCCCAAAAACCTGTGACAACGGAGGTTGAGGTAACTAGCTGATCTACTGGTCAGCCTACTACGCTGACCTACGCTAGCTACGCTGACCTACGGTCAGGCTGAGGTAGCTACGCTGACCTACGCTGGCCTTGGGAGCTCTGGGCGCCGTTTATCTAGAATCGTGGATACAAACCTAGGAAATAGAATGATAGATACCTGAATGGTCTTTACGTGGTCTGGTAGGTACCTGCCCGCTTAGTATGGAATTATACAGGTGATGTGCATGCCTTCCTGATCAAGCCTTATTTAAGCAGTTAGGAAATATGGCATCTGGCAAAATTGTATGCATAATTTGGGATATAACTTGAGAAAACATACATAACTTGAGTACCTAGTCCGGCCGCGGAGTGCAGGTTTTGCTGGGTTAACCGTGAATGTCTGGAGCACAGATATCTCTGAGACCACTGTAGCACCAATCAATCGAATCCTACAATCAGTCTGACCAATCCAATCTAAACCAATCAATCTACGTCCGGGACGGATTTCTGAAATGCGAACTTTTACCTCAGAAGAATTTCCACCAAATGAACTTTTGTCTGAAATTTTTGCCCTCGACGAACTGTTGTCATTATGAACTTTGGCCCTTAACGAACTACTTTGGTACGGTTGCCCCAAATTAACTTTTTATGAGAGCCTTTTCCCTAGGCGAATTGCATGCAGACAAACTACTGCGTGACAAAACTTTGTCCTGAACAAACTTTTGTGCGACGAACTTTTGTCCGGAAACCGACTTGACCTGATAAATGTTCTTGACGAATATTGTAAATACACACATTGATGACTCACGAGGAATGCGCAAATACACTTGGAATGTGTCTTGCGATCTCGATAACTCCTGGACTGTCTGAGGGTGGGCCAGTACATCAAAATGGTCGGAAGCACACGTCGTGATCATGATCAGGTCAGTAAAGCACGATGAATGCATCCTGGGAAAGTGTTTTGGTTCCAAGACCCAGCATCATGCCTTTTTTGCTTAAGACGTAAGATACGCTGGATTCTGGGAACGCTTGCTGCACTTATACAATTGAAAAGCGGCTTAGCCGGTCCGCCCGGCGTGTGGTCGGAGACGAGCTGTGCGGCGCCGGCCGCTCGTGACGTCAGCTCAACGGAAGCTCGTGACCGGCCCCGCCCTGTGTCATCAGAACAACAACACGGCCAAGGGGCGGCCGGCGCCGGCGGAGGAGCTCCAGTGGCTGCGGGCCGCCCTGCACGCCAGTCAAGGCACGTGAGAGGGCGCGCGGCCGGCCGCCGACCGCGCAGACATTGGGTCCAAGCAGCTGCCTGTGGGCGCGGGCCGTCCGCGCGCCTCTGCTGCGTGTACCATTGCGAGTCGTTTGCTGTTTGATGTGCTTGTTCGGAGTCGGTGCTCGCTGGTATGTCACATCAGATCACGTCGTCATTCGCTCCCAGAAAACATGCGTCACCTTTTGCATCCGCAGAGCAGGGCTTCCCCACCAAAGCTATGCCGCCGTCGGTCTTCCCTGAATGTCGGCGCGCCCACCCCGTATAAACACGCTTCAGTCCCCGCTGTGCCGAGCCGGCGCGACGTGCCGTCTCCGACACGTGCCGGCGGCGGCCGCGTGCAGCCGGCGCTGTCGGCCGTCCGCGGGATTATCCCGACGGCCGGCTGCCCACGCGGCGCCGACCGGTTGGGCGCCGTATTTCTGCGGCGGCCGGCAGCCGCGACAGAGGTGTGGACGCCCGCCGCGGGCTGAGCGCCGCTCCGCCGCTGTCGCTGCCGCTGACACCGCGCCGTACCCGCAGGCGACGCGGCCGCGCTGCTACGCCACTTCATGGCGCACCTCCAGAGGCAGGTCAGTCGAGATGGGGCCGGCTGGCTGGCCGCGCGCTTGCAGCGGCGACCGAGCGGCCGCGGCATGCGACCTTGGCCGTTGCTGCCGCCGCCGCTGGGTGTAAGGCCTAATGGGCCGGGTGTTGGGGTTGATGGGGTCTACTCATAACGAGGGGCGCGTTTGATTCACACGGGGAGGAAGAGTGGTATTTGTTGGGAGGAGACGAGGTGACGAGTTCCGCTCACTCAGCGCACCGCCTGTCCCACATGTCAATCTCGTCACCTATTACGATGATCTAGTAGCTGAGATAAGACGAGTGGTCCGGTTTCGGATTGCCTGAAAACATCCACACCTGTGACAAAAAAATAAGTTATCGAAAACGTCCCACTTGTGACATTTTACCCCACTTATGACGTCCGATCATGGGCGCCATGCCGAACGCTCGGAAACCCGAGAGCGCCGCCTGGTCTCGGCCGGAGCCGAGAGGTTCGGTGACTGTGTCTGGGCGCCCGGCGACATTTCCCAGGGTTGGCGCTCTGTTTCGTCACCCGTGGCTAACGGCGGCGTGAGCGTTTCGTGAAAAGCAGCCGCTGCCTGCCATCCGGTTCCAGGGCGGGGGCACGCTACATTTGATACCAGTTTTGCTTCAAATGGAGCTGAGCCGGAAACTTTGCGGCAAACCGGTTGTCTTTCGGCCAAGTGCAGGCTGGTAGGCGACCGTACGAAAGCTACGAGAGTCCCGGTGTAGGCTATTACATAATGATAGGTTCACTGTTCAGATGCAGTATTCTGCGGTGTCTCGGCGACGACCGCTGTTACGGGTGTGTGTGTGTGTGTGTGTGTGTGTGTGTGTGTGTGTGTGTGTGTGTGTGTGTGTGTGTGTGTGTGTGTGTGTGTGTGTGTGTGTGTGTGTGTGTGTGTGTGTGTGTGTGTGTGTGTGTGTGTGTGTGCGTGTGTGTGTGTGTGTGTGTGTGTGTGTGTGTGTGTGTGTGTGTGTGTGTGTGTGTGTGTGTGTGTGTGTGTGTGTGTGTGTGTGTGCGTGTGTGTGTGTGTGTCTATGTGCATGCGTACGTGCGTGCGTGTGTGCGTGCATGACTGTCGGCACGCATCACTTACGCTGCATAATTGGTGTTACATCTATCTCTCTAGTCTCGGTCAGCGGACTCACGTCAGGGTGCTCGGTAACCGGTGAAGGCGTATGATGTATCTGTATAAGGCTCGCGCCCAGCAGCACGATTGCACATAACGGCCTGCTGCCGACGGGTCAGGAGCTCCTGGAGCTCTCCGGGCCGCCCACAAGTCAGGAGCGCCTGGGACTCTCTAGGTCGCCGACGGGTCAGGAGCGCCTGGGACTCTCCGGGCCGCCGACCGGACCACAGACTTCTCTCCGTGAGCCGCCGCAGCCCGGCAGTTTATCAGCCGGCGGACGGGCGCCCGACCCCGGCGACCCCGGGAGGCTGGCTCACCGCCGCGGCCGCAGAGGGGGCTGTGGGCGGACCCCCAGCGCCCCGCTCTGGCCCAGTCCGCCTGCACACGGAAACGGCGCAGAAAGACGTGGTTGGTGGGTGCTGGACGCCCTGCGGTAGCTCAGGCCTCGACTCAGTGCTCCGCATCGGGGGCAAAAATCCGACCAGCTGGGCATGTTTTGCTAGTCAGCACGTGAGGCCTCGGGAGAGGGTAGAGTGACGAAATTCGATTGACGAAGACAGTTGCTCGGAATAATGGCGGAGGTGACGCGGAATGTTTGCATGAGAGCAAGCCAAGAGGTTTGGAATATCCGAGCAGAGGGATTGTGGCATCAACTGGAAAAAGGCCGCTACTGGGAACAAACGCTTTGCGTTGAACGTACCACTGCACTGGGTAGATATGGTAAGCCCAGGGATTTCCGTTATCCCAACTGTAGTACCACTTGAGTAGTTCAAACGGAAAGGGATCATGCCTTCAGAAAGGTTTTAACTTTCCTCTTCTGAGAACAAGTAGGAAGGCGTGATTCCAAAAGCAGTCTTTTTCCCATAAATTGTGAAAATCTGAAATATTGGCACTGGGATTTTGTCCTCGGCCATAACTCTACTAGCTAAAATGTTGTAATATAAGCTCCGTTACGCGGGGCTCTACTCCAGTGATTAACCGCGTGAAGACTCATTACAACCTGGGCTGAAAGTACCAGCCAAAGAATTAAGTCAAATTGATTGAGGGATGGGGTATGTCGCATGCTTTTCATATTCTTAACAAAATGACCTTTCGGAGATCACACCTTTTAAACATTGCGCTACTCGCGATCTCTGGCAGTTTCTTCAGAACTGGAAGGTGGTGAATCGAACAACACCTGTCTGCTTCATAATGTCAAACCCAGTAAAACGCGTGAGATGACTCGCGTCTGAATACGCCCATTGTGAGGAATCGCATAACTATAACACCCTGCGCCGGCCGCGTCTCGATAACCCCCGACTGTCGCCTCTTGTCGGCCTGCCGGCGCGGCGACCTGTGGGGACGTCTTCATCTGCGCCCAGCCGGCGGGTGCCGCTCCCTCTCGGCGCCGGCCGGCCGCTGGCGGCAGCGGACCGTGCCGCGCCTGCAAACGAGCTCTGCGCTCGTCTCGGCGCCGCCCGCCAGCGTGCCGTCTGCACCAGCGGCCGGGCCGCGGGGCGAAGAGGCGGCCCAGCGGGGACGCGCCGAGGCGCCGGTCACGGCTCGGAACCAGCCGGCGCCTGGGGGGGGGGGGGGGGGGGGGGGGGGGGGGGGGGCTGAAGACCGCTCCATCGGAGCTGGCTGGAGATCCCCAGGGGCTGATGGGATGCAGGCCGTCTCTAGCCCGGACGCTGACGACGTACACGTCCGGGCAGGCCGCATGCGTAATTATCTGAACTGAAACAAACTGTGTCCGCCGGACTGGCGAGACAGGTGTTCGTCGTAGCTGCCTGCAATCGCGTCCACTGCTGCCAGAAGCCAGTCAGAAACGGTGACCGCCTCGTTAGGATGGTCGCGCTGTGTACTCTTCAGCGGCATGTGGCGCGGCCTTTCGGTTAGCGGGGCTGCGGCAGCTGAGCACCGTGGCCGCGCAGGGGACATATAAGCCGAGATTAGATCCGAGGTGCTAGCGTGCTGCTAGCCTGAGTTCGAGGTATTCATCGGTTTACATTGGCTGAATTCGTCGTCTTCATCTTTGTTGCAGAGGAAGTGCATCTCATGATCCAACGAAGGCGCTGTGTCGTGCAGTTTCCAAACCGTTGCGTGATTAGTTTTGTGAAGGCATGCACGGCCTGTAGTTGCAGGCGTTTGTGTTGTGCGTCTTTGCAACCATGCGCAGCGTCGATGTTACGCGCGCGGACTGGTGCAACTGGTGCAGCAAGTGTGATAAGGAGGACCAAAGGCGCAGTGATAAACAGGCGGGCGAGTCGTGTGGCCAGGCGCCGGCAACACGCTGGTATGCTCCAGGCTTCAGTTACCTTTTTTCCATGGTATCCTCGCGTTTCAGCTTTGTATGCGTTAGAGGGCAGTGCAGCAGTCAGATGGAAGCGGTGTTCGCGGTAGCGTTGGGTAAAGCTGTGGGGAAGGTCTCAGTGTGTTAACGACTTGCGAACCCGGCCAGTCTGCTCCCCTTCACTCGAACGTCCCACTGGTCTCCAGTTTGTGGGGTGCCGCTCTTAATCAGGGCGAGTCGCTTTTGTAAAAAAAGAAACTTTGATATATGATTAGGTCAGTGAGCTCGTTTGCTGCCATGCAACATACAAAGATATGTCTTTTGTGCAACTGGCCTCTCTCGGTTGCTACCGTTAGAAACACTGCAGGGCAGCTAAATTGTGAATTGCATCAGTTTCGCTGCCGCCATGACCAAGTAACGGTGCAGCCGAGTTGCCGGCGTGGGCCGCTGACCCGCGGTCCTCCCCTCCGCAGGAGATGGCGTTCCCCGGCAGCTACAACCCGCGGCCGGCCGCCGGCACCGGTCTCCGCCGCACCCACTCAGGTAGGCCGCTGCCACCCGTCTCCGACACGCTCCGTCGCGGGCCGCCTCCGTCCGTGCATCACCGCTCCGATGATGTCCTCCGCCGCACACGCGCCGTCCCCTGCTCGGGCCGCCGTGCTCCTCACTCCTCCGAGATGCGCGGTCGGTCCTCCGCCGCTGTCCGTCCGAGAGCCCGGCGGCCGGCCGTGGCCGGCGCGAGGCGCTCGTGCCGCCGCCGGTCTGGGGAGCCGGCTCGGCGGCCGGCGGCGTCGCGGACGTGCTATCTGGCTGCGATCTGGACGTGCTGTCGTGCCCGGCCCGGCGCGGCCCGGCCGCGGCCGCGCTGGAGCGGCCGCGGGCGAGCGGGTTGCCGGGCCGGCGGCCGCAGCGGCCACACCTCGGCTCCAGCGGACGGCGGCTGCCGCGCTGCCGCCTGCGCCGGGCCGGGGCGCAGCGGGCTCATGGAGCGGTCAGTGCTAGAGGGG